ATGATTGGCCTGAACGGAAAAAGGGCCAAGAATAGTAAACAAGCGTTTTTCTCAGTTAGCTGGACTGGTATCCGCCTCTGAACGTTTGTGATTTGCGCGATATTTTGCTCAAATGTTCTCAATAACATACGACAAATTCATCTATTTCGTCGGCTGAAATTCCCAGGCTTCCTCTGATTCTGAGTGCTTTCCAAGACGTGCGGATCCTGAATGAGCACGACAGTGCTCCATTATTAGGCCACTTTATCTGTCAGGTTCTCTCAGTAGACAACATTTTCATTGCACTAATGATACCGGTCTCTATAAGTTCCCAAATGTGTCTGGTTCGCACGTTCGTACCAGTTCACGTTCGTAATCACCCTGCTCGTGCTGTACCAAGGAAATTGTCTAATCCTGCGGCCAAATAGGCGCCCTACAAGCCGTGTTATTGCTGTGTTAATTTCAAAAGAATAATGGGAATCAAATACAAGATCAAAGAAAGCAATGAAATTGTGTCGCATGGCCTTACAGTACCACCCTCTGTAAATAAATGCTCACATGTTACCAGATTACATAGTCAGGCTGAAAGCAGGCTTAATCTGCCGACTGACGGAGAACTGCGCAGAAAAGGCATAGGCTTCATTTTTTGTCATATATCGAGCCTGACGTGCTACCCACCGCTTCTTTAGGCTTTACGCTAACCAGAGTTGTAGCCGAGGGAAGGCCAATGGGAGCGCCCCCTCCCCCCGCTCTTACCAGGAGTTTTATACTCGATACGGAGATAATTCACAATAATTTGGTCCAAATTCGCAGGATTTTTCAGAACGTTTGGCATTTTCACCTTCTAAGGATAGCTTTCGCCACGTGCCCGACACTAAAACATATGGTAGGGGGGTCACTGGATGCCCTGATGGTGACGGTTCGGCCGCTGGCCGCCGCCGGTGCCCCGTCCTGCCGCTGGCCGGCGACCTGTCAACCACTACCTCCCGGCCTCCTGACCTCCTGACCCTCTCCTCATGACAGGCTGTCTCTGGTCGCCGGCCTGGCCCAACCTGTCTTCGGTGACCGCCCTTCGCGGAGTCGCCGGGCGTCGGGCTACCCGTTTGGGAAACTGCGTCACTCATGGGAATGTTGCACTGACTTAGCCGCTGGTGTGCAGTTAGTGGGTAGTAGTATGCCAGTTGCGTGGGTTATCTGTGCCTCATTGTCATCGTTTTTCCGTCACTGTTCTTCCTCTGGTAGCGTAGCTGGCGACCCGAATTCTAGCATTTTCTGTGCCGTGCGCTACCAAGACCAACTACTTCTGATCCCAGTCTCGCTCCTCGGCAGTGCCATCTATGCACGCCATCTAGGCACCTTGCAGCTGCTTGGCGACTTTTATCAGGCCGTCGTTTTCTTCAATGAGCTGGTCGGTATGACATCTTAAGTCAAACATCCCACTGGTGGAATCCTGTATAATCGAAGTGAGACAAGCCAAAAGCAACTAAATCGGCAGGCGTCGCTGTTTTATAAACACGTCCTTAGCTATTTCACATGCAGCTGCGGCCGCCCGCCGCCCGAGGACGCCTGTTGCCGGTAGCGCTGCCTGTTCAACCCGGCTGAACAGGGACGGACGGGCCCGGCGTTCGGCCTCATCGGTCCGCCGAGCCGACAGGGAGCCGTTGAGCCGACGTTGAGCCTCGCGGCCACGGCCTCCGCCGAGCCGACGCGGAGCCCCGCGGCGCGTGACACCCACTTTCGATCACGGTGTGGAGGCCGTGCAGCATCGAAATATGCCCAGCCTCTGTGGTCGTACCGAGCGAAGACGGTCGTGGTTTAGTTAGCTGGCGGAAACACGTGGCCCTCATCGTTTCTAGATGGCAATGAAGGTGCGGAGTGGCATTTGCGCTCTCGGACCCTTGTGTCTGGGCCGGAAATAATATAAGTACATGTTGGAACCATCATGGCATGTGATTGCAATGATGTTGCAGCCATTTTCAACCACGACATCTGTGTTCAACCGACCAAACGTCGTAACTTGCTTGGCGAAAGTTTTGGCAAAGGACCTGTGTATAGTTGCACAGATATGTACATGTTTAAACATGCTAAAAATAGATCTATGATTTCCAGAAGGGAAGTAATTCATGAGGCACAGTAACAGCTGAACTGCCATTATCCTGTCACTCATCCTTTGTTTTTTTTCCGTGCCGTTAAGAAAAACGGCTACATACGGCTGTTATTTGGTTTGCTTGCACCTCAGCACGTGATATCAATGAAATAATGTTGCGTGGTACAAGTCCACTGCTTCTTATTTTGGATAGACATGTGAACGTTGCAGTGTCGCAATTCACGTGTCCTTGTCGTACCGGTCTGTCCACAATGTCTAAAATGTTTTCCAAAGCAAAATGTTAGCAGTGCTGCTGCGCCATGCCTGTTGGCCGGCGGAAAACAACAGAGAACCCTGCACCATTGTCACAAATACGGATCGGAATATGGCAGGGTTGTAATTTCCACCAATCAACAGTTCAGCGTAATGGTCTTAGCTCTGGAAGATGATAGGCGATAGGCGTCAGGCCGATGATCTCCGATGAACAACGGTTGCAGCGGGATTTCAACAGACTAACAAATGCACACGAGATTGTAAAAAAAGAGAGTCGGGCTTAGGCTGCCTTTACATTCCGGGCCTAGCTTGGCTCATGGCTTGCGAACTTAAAATATCAAACGTGGGTGCCCGCTGCGTGGGTCCATGGGTGCCCGCTTATCTGATTTAACTGGGAGTTAGCCGTGTTTGGTTTGTGACATAACTCATTTTAACGCTGTCCTATTGTCTTGCAGCAAATGCTGATGTTATTAGACTATGGACGAACTAGGATCCTGTGGCGAGTCAGTTGTTGTGGCTCTCCACTGAACCATGAAGCGTCCCTCTGCCACGGAGTGCATGTCCAAGTCACAGACACATATATCTTCATATGCATACGTATGTCGCAGACCGAAACCAGTGTGACCTCGTGGATTGGGTACCCATGTGATATATATATATATATATATATATATATATATATATATATATATATATATCTCTCTCTTCTCGTCTCTCTCTCTCTCTCTCTCTTCCCTCCTCTCCTTCTCTCTCTCTCTCTCTCTCTCCCTCCCTCCCTCCCTCCCTCCCTCCTCTTCTCCTCTCTCTCCTCTCTCTATCTCTCTCTCTCTCCTCTCTTCTCTCTCTCTCTCTCTCTCTCTCCTCTCTCTCTCTCTCTCTCTCTTTTCGTACAATGTTATGCTTGTCGCCTTGCTGACGAAGATCAAAAGAGAACCCCAATAAAGGCCTGTGTAAGTGCAACAGAATGGCATGGCGATCAGGTTGGGTTAGGTGCAGATTTGGAAAACCTACGGGTAAAGTATAGGTGGGGTGTGGGTATTGGTAATACCCACAATACGGAATATGGGTTTAAAATGCATAAATGCAAATGTATGAATCTAAGAAGTGAAATAGCTAAGAAGTGTGAACAAATGGGTTTAGAGACAGTTGCTTAGGTGCTAAAGGAACGAGGTTACTGATTGGACTTGTTTTACGATTTTTAGCTGCGCTCACACCACGTCTGAAACTGAGCTGAAACAAATCAACTGATGTACAACTTCCCTGCAACTTTTCAGAATATCAAACCAAAGTGCTAAAAGAGTGCAGATGGTTGGGTAACTGATGTGTGCAACTGGTAAAGAAGGCAGCAGCGGGTGGATTGGGTACAAAATCTTACCAGTGAAGGCCTGTACATCACGAGCAACAGCATCGTGCGCGAATTTACGTTAACCATTGTCCGCTACTTCTCCAGTCACGCATACACAATGCCAAAAGGCCTGCGCGTGCTAGGCATAAGGCTGCAGCTATGACACCGGCCTCCGGCCGTGGGGCCGCCAACAGCACCACCGGACCGGTGGCGGACGGTCGCAGCCCCCCCCCCCCCCCTTTCAAGCGTCTGCTCACCGGCAGTCCCCGGCGGCAGCTGGCTCAAGAGCAGTTGGTTTGTGTGTCCAGTGAACACGCCGCAGATTAGCGCTTGTCATGTGTCGCACAGCTGGCGGTTGCATGGTGCGTTAATGACGTCCATAGCTGGCGGCTGTATGGTGCGTTAATGACGTCCATAGCTGGCGGTTGCATGGTGCGTTAATGACGTCCTACGGCTGCCGTTGGCCTTTTGAAGACAATGTTGGGGCTAGGAGGTATACAGGTGCTCCCACGCCAACGCTGCCCCCAAAATGCGGTACGACGATATGTGAGTGTAACACTGATAACCTGGTTACAAAAGTACAGCTGTGTCCATGCTGCATGGCATATGCCAATTAGGAGCGGTTCGTAAAGTTTACAGCTATGCTTGCCTCGTGTAGGCTGCACACAACTCTGTGAGCTGCCAATATTTGCACATATCCATCTAAATGAGATGTCTTAACGCATGCAACCAGCTGTGCTTTCACGGAAAACTCAACACTCTATCCAGCCTTTCGGCGTCCAAATTGGACAGTTCTGGCGTAAATGACCAGCATGTTACATTTTGGCTTCTGAATTTGCCGTGGAATAACCTCAGCAAACATGTCGCGGGTCCCAAATCAGTAAGCGCAAAGGGACGACTGTGCGGATGGAAGGTTCAGGATGGTTTGATATTGATACTCTCTGTTCTTTTCATTACACCTATATTTAAAGAATACAAACGTCAAAGAGCCTCGCAAGCCCGGCATTGCCCTTCAGTGTTAATTGGTAGCATTCCTTCTTGAATGGACTCGCAACAGCACCCGTCACTTTACGAGAATTATGGTCAATCATTGAAGCTCGCCACTCCCTTCTCATAGTTAAATGTTTCCCGGGGCCTGCGTGGGCCTCTGTTTGGAGCGAATCCAAGCAGAAAACAAGGCATCCAGGAGCCCAGGTGGAGCGGTCTGTTAACGCTATGACCGACGTGGAGCTCACTCAAGAGTCTTCTGGCTATGCTAAGTGGCCTGAAGTGTTTCGCTTGGGACAGCCGCCCGGCACGGCCGGCTTTCCTACTCACGCTCTCCGTTGGCGTTTTGGAAGACGGTGTAGTCGAAGCGCGGGATAATGCCAATGGTCAGGCCGTTCGGGATCACCAGCTGCCGCTTCACCCGGCTCGAGCGCGCCAGCGAGCTGTTTGTTGCCGGTTCCGGCATGTCCACGTCGGCCAGCGGCGGTGGCTGTCCGCCGACCGGCCGGCGGGCCCGGCCACGACGGCGCCCCTGCCGGCCCCCGCCCGCCGCCTCCGCCGCCCGCCCGCACAGCACGGCCGCCAGCGAGCACAGCAGCAGGGCGCGGCTCGGGTGCACCATCGGTTGCCGGACCGGCCTGTCGACCGTCACTGTCCCACTCGCCCGCCGACACCGTCCGCAATGCCGCAGCCGCGCCGAAAGTGAAACAGGCGATTTTTTCCGCTGGCTGGGCGGCGGTGCGCTAACACCATGCCAGCGTCATGGCGGGCGCGCAGGGGCGCACGCGCGGCATGCCTGCCGGCGATTGTCCGCGGCGAGGACAGCGGGCGGTTGCGACCTACGGTGAAGCTGGGCACGGCGGCTGCAGCGGCTGGCGGTGAGGGCGGCGGTGCGTGAGGCGGCCTGCACTACACGCAGCACCCCGCCGCGGAGAGGAGAGGAGGGTCGCTCGCACGGGTCCGCGAGTGAGGACGCTGGCTCGTGGGGAGACGGGGGGAGAGGAGGCCTGCGAGGAGAGGACCGACACCGCAGGGCGGGCGCTAACGGCGGCGGAGGAAAGCGGCAAGTTGAGCACTGCAGGCCAGCTGTCCCGACGGTCCGGCGGGAGGCACCGACGGCAGGACAGTTCACGGCCGAGCGCGGTGCGGGACTGCGGCCGCCCGTCCGACGGACAAACCCACTGACCTAGCGCGGGCCGCTGTAGGGCACAGTTCCGCAGATCATCAGTCCGGACAGGCGGCTGTGTGCAGACAAGGCGCGTGGCCTCATATGTCAGGCGTCACGCCCGCCACTTTCCCACCGGCAGCAGCAGAGGCGCGCGGCGTGGCACAGTACGGCACCGAGCTCCAGGCCGGGGGTGGACAGGGGGATGGAGCGCCACGAACCAGGATGAGGAGGAGAAAATGTCCTGAGAGTGAGCGCGGCGTGCGTATACGCAGCGGGTGATCAGAGTGAGTGACTTTAGCGTGCCAATAGGGATGCCTGAAGAACGAGACTAAGGAGGGTCTTTGGAGGGTATGGCCAGGGAGATCATTGCTCGTAGGAAGTTGATGCTGCAAGTTAAATAGCATACAAATATAAAACCGTCTGCACAAGCGTACACCGGAAATGCCCCAATGTTGAGTTTATAACATTTACTCGTGAATATCTCTGATGTAGCTCTGATTCAACTCTTTTTCTCCTTTTTCTTTCATTCTCTCTCTCTCTCTCTCTCTCTCTCTCTCTCTCTCTCTCTCTCTCTCTCTCTCTCTCTCTCTCTCTCTCTCTCTCTCTCTCTCTCTCTCTCTCTCTCTCTCTCTCTCTCTCTCTCTCTCTCTCTCTCTCTCTCTCTCTCTTTCCTCACGAGTTGGAAATTAAGAGATAAAGCCCGGCGTGGACTTTCGGATTGATTAGCAGACAAAGATGCAGCTTGGAAAGTTGGTAATTTATCATAAGGCGCGCCAGGTTACGTGGTCACGAGCAACTTTATGCAAAGCGGCCAAAAATTCTAAATAGCATTCGTTCATTCATGGCTTTCATTGCATGGTCGCATTTCGTGCTACTCAAATTGGAAGTCACGAGGCACATCCTTCACGCTCCCGCTACTAGCTATGCGTCATCGCTGATGCAGTGAGAAACTATGCACGGAAGTAAAGTGGGCACTAAAGAGCAGACAGTGACGATAGTCACGTAGCGCCCGGTTTCACGCCATAATTCAGCACGCACGCACAATAACAGAGCACCTTTATGATGACATGCATGTTTCCACCATGCTACACTTCCTGCGCTACGCTTTTTGTGACTTGTTTACTACGCCACAGGCTGATAATTCGTGCCTTAAACACACGGTGAGTATTTGTGCATGCAAGCCTGCGGCAACTATCTCGTGCATTACATCATAATCTCTCGCATAGTCATAGCTGTGTGAAATCTAAGATCATGGTACGCCGGCACCGCGTCGAACCCAACAACATCCGACACAAGCCATATTCCTGATGTTTAGCGCGAATTACGTGCGAACCACCGTTCCATGAAGGCGTGTCAGTTCTCCAAACGCGATGACACCCAATTGCCAACAGGCATGTGTCAGGACACGTGCGTGACGGGGATATTGGCACCGTCACCAGGACGGCGATTGGTGTGCCGCTCCGAGCTGTGCAGGAGCACCGGCGACATCTGCAGAGTCCTGGCAGCCGCGGCGAGTCATCGCCGGCCGGCGGGCGCCGCCTCTCCGTGCCGTGCTCGACATGCTGTGGTCAGCTTTCCCCGCCGTGATGACGAGCAGCCCGACACGGCTGGCGTCGCTTACAGCAGGTTGGCCGAGTCTAGCAGGTCAAACAGCGAGCCCGGACACTCGGCGAAGGCTCGCCGACAGCCCGACACGTCTTCGGTGCCGAGCCTCTTGGCCTCCATCAGCTCGCCACCCATGACGTCATCCGGCGACCCGGGCGGCACCCTGGCGGCGGTCACCGACATTAGCACCAGTGCTGGGTCAAGCACCAGAGCTGAACACTTATAGTCACTCTTTGTGAAAGTCGAGCGTCACGACAGCAAATTGCTATTCACTTCATGATACTGTTTTTTGCTTTTAAAAAAAAACTTGTGCTGTGCGAATAGCAGCCAGGCATGGTTAGATGTTTTGCAGAAAGGGAAAAGACACGTAAATGAGGTCCAACAGAGCTCAACTGAATTCCTTTTGGTGCAGCACCACTGGAAAAGTGTCGCAGTTTTTCAGAACATGAGATTTCCCCTCTTTCTGCGCAAAGAACGGAGCGAATATCAATCTTTGAGTGGATGCTGCGGGTACCGCGCCTGGAACTCAGTAGTTGCTCGAAAGCCAGGCCTAGATGGACAACAACGGTACAGAGCATCGTGTCGCAAACCCACCCCACCATTAGTCCCGCGCACGGCGGCACAGACCAGCAAGTCATGAACTCACTCCAGCAGGAGCTGTAGCAGGCGCGTCATCAGCTGGCTGTCGCCCCGCCGACCAGCTGCCTCACAGATGGTGCGCAGCACACAGGGGCGTCCAGGGAAGCCGAACCTGTGACATCGTAGGACCGGGTCAGCATACAGGTCAGCACACAGGGGCGGCCCGCGAAGCCAAGCCTGTGGAGCCTGAGGGCTGAGACAGCACACAGACCATCACACAGGGAGAGGGGGGAGGGGAACCGAGTCAGCATACAGGTCAGCACACGCGGGCGGCCCGCGAAGCCAAACCTGTGGAGCCGGAGGGCTGAGGCAGCACACAGACCATCACACAGGGAGAGGGGGAGGGGAACCGAGTCAGCATACAGGTCAGCACACGCGGGCGGCCTGCGAAGCCAAACCTGTGGAGCCGGAGGGCTGAGACAGCACACAGACCATCACACAGGGAGAGGGGGAGGGGAACCGCGCCTGCGGTGCCTGAGGGCTGAGGCAGCACACAGACCATCACACAGGGAGATGGGGAGGGGAACCGAGTCAGCATACAGGTCAGCGCACACGGGCGGCCCGCGAATCTAAGCCTGTGGAGCCGGAGGGCTGAGACAGCACACAGACTATCACACAGGGAGAGGGGGATGGGAACCGAGTCAGTATACAGGTCAGCACACAGGGGCGGCCCGCGAAGCCAAACCTGTGGAGCCAGGGGGCTGAGACAGCACGCAGACTGTCACACAGGGAGAGGGGGAGGGGAACCGCGTCTGCGGCGCCTGAGGGAAGGTGCCAACCGGGCCACAGGTTATGCAGGACAGGGCCAGCATTAACCTTAGCTAGGAAGATCATGTCCAAAGCTATTGATTATGACTTAAGCTTTAAAAGGCTCTCCTGCCAATCGTCTATGAATGCGCGCATAGATACTACGCGGCTTGGGATGTAGAACATTTAATTGTTGAAATAATGTTTTGATTTGATGAACATTCAAACGCCCAAATCAGTGCTCGCATACTCGATAACTCCCCAGCGTCCGCTCACATAGCACATATGTAGTTGTAACGGTACACAATGTAAGTTTTGAGCCTGTTGAACTGCTCAGTTTGACGCTGCGACCGGGGACAATATCAAGGAATTATTGGTTGATTTACATCGCGATCGGTGCGGAGCGCATTGCAGTGTATGCTGGTGCGCGACTGGTGCACTGGACTCACGCCAGACACAGGTAGAAAACAATGATGCGTAAAATCATTGCCACATTAAACCTGAAGGGCTTGCAATACAGCGGATTAGATTATGCAATATGATTAGATTATGCAATATGCAATACAGCGGATTAGAAATTGGGTTAGATTCCGAAAAACATTGCAATATTTTACTAATGTCTCGTTTTCCCCGCCGTGTTTCGTTCTTTAAGTTGCCTTGTCTATACATGTGGCGAAACAATCACAGCTCGTCAGCGGACGTGTTGGTGGTGTCGACCATCTGAGAAACACCTTTCACACTTGTGTGTGCAGATTTATCCGACAGGCGTTTACGCGCGGATGGACTGTTACCCTTCGACGGCCTCTTGCAGATGGGTGTAGATGTCCACCAGGTCATCAGAGCGTGACCTTTTGCCCTCTAGGTACTGCAGCTGCTGGGCCGACTGGTCCAGCGGCAACACCAGGGGCACCCACGTCACGTTCAGCACTCCGGCTGCAACATGCATGGAACGATGTCATGCGCTGCTGTGAGATCTGTACAGAAGCGCACAAGGAATGTTTACGCTGATTTTTAGTTCGTGAAGCTATCTCCTCCGTACCGCATGGAGTTTCTTTTCGATTATTCCTCGCGTACCCTACCTCACCCTTACCTATGCATGCCTCGCATGCAATATTATATTACCTCGCTTTACCTATGCAATAATGATAAAAGTTTTTTAATTGACGACAACGCATTGTCGATTCATTACAAAGTGGGAGTGTCTGTCTTGAGTATGTGGTCGGTTATGTGCCCTTGAAGGCAGCCACAAGTCCCGAGCCCCTGCGTTTAGCACTGGCCATCGAAGCTGTCGGTCAAATAACATACCGGCCGACATGCTTTCAATCCACCTCGACAGGAGCGCCGACTCGCCTGTAAAAACTGACTCGGTTTTTGCGTAGCACGTGGCTGTGGGAAAAACGAAACAATTACCTTCGTGAGCTCTTTTCTTCGCAGAGATAATAGGCCCGACTGCTGGCAAGCTGCCTTCTGGGAGGTATCGTGATGATGGCCAATACCTACTGTTCGCTCTTTTTCGGTACTCATTCTACACTGACCGCTGTGGGAGAGGGACCGGGTTCGATTGTAATAAGAAGGGCGGGGCATATCGTATCGCGGTCGCCTCCTAGTACATGTCATTACCGTTCTGCAACAAATACCCAAACTGTTCCGTGTTAAGAAGGCAAGATCATATTTGGCAGGCGGCATCGTCAGTATCTCATATTTCGGCTTCCAAAATTAGGTAAGTTTTCCAGTGCATTAGCGAGGAACATTACTCACATAGATAAGATAATAGTATTAGCCTTATTCCTCGAAGAAAAAATAGGAGAATGGGGATATAGTTGGATTGATATTTCGGCATCATGCCTTTATCGAAACAATAACAGAACTCAATTCAAAATTGCCTGCGGATAATCCTACTCGATTTTTCGTTTTTTAAAGCAAGCCACAGTTTTTACAGGACACCAAAATTCAGTGGGTTAAACAAACAGCGATTGCCAGCCATTGCCATGATACCTTGCCTATCTAAGAATTAAAATGCGCGAACATACGTGTACAGGCAAACAAATTCAAGCAAACAGGCACCACGCATCACGCTTCATTGAAGCTCCATCGCACATCGCGTATCAATTATACGTGCAAACGATTTTGATCGAACAGGCATCACACACCACGCGTCAGGTATCACTTACACATGTGAACGATTTTAAGCTAGCACACATCACACCTAAAGACAGAAGAGGAACGTGTGCTAGCCTATAACCAATTACTTCAAGCTAAGCGCCAGGTAAATCATTGTTATCAAGAACTGGTTGACAGTCTAACAATCCAGAATAGAGTGAATAATTTGTCATCCGTAGGACTTAATATCGCAGGACTTAATCTTCTAGCCGAGGTCCGAGCTTTGCGCAAACAGTCAGCATCCGAGAGCATTTTACTTTCTATTAGAAAAAGACACAGTTTTGCACAGTTAGCAAAATACTTTTGGACAAAACCATCAAAGACTTAACACCTAGACACAGTAGAACGCATGTATCCTATGGGCTTTCTAAAGATCACAAACCTGCGAATCTCCTTAAACCTGTCATATCTACGTGCGGTGGTCCTGCAGAAAAAAAATTCGTGTCTTTTAGAGAAAATACTTAGCCAACTCTTGAAGTTTTTCCCACTCACTTGTGGAACACCAGATATGTTTAAAAAAATGCTTTTAATCATTTGCAGGTAGAAGGGTTACCAGAAGGAAGTGTTTTTGTCAGTGTAAATGCCGTCAATTTATACGGCAATATGCCGGTCAATGAGGCTATTGCTACCGTAAAGGCTAAGGTAGACAAACATTTGCATAAAAACGATGCTTTCGGGTTGTCAAAAGAGGATATCTGCAGCCTTTTAAAACGATGCCTCCAGGATAATGTTTTCTTGTTGGAAGATGACTTCTACCGATAAAAATAGGGAATAGCAATGGGGAACCCATGCGCTCCTTCTCTGGCGATAATATTTCTAGACCAATTTGAAACGAAGGCCCTGGCCGCCAGCCCACCAAAACCAACTTTCTTTGCTGGTTGCATCGATGATTATGCTGGGGTATGGACGCACGGGCAGTGTCGCTTAAAGAGTTTTTGGAGTTCATGAACAGCCAGCATCCAAATCTGGCTTTCACGATGGAGCATACAGGGGGCGGAAAGGAGGTCCGACATTCGAGTACGCTAGCGACGGTGGAAAGGAGGAACAACCGCACAACGTTGGAAACGGAGCTCTTTGCTGATCCCGCCAACTCTGACATCATTTTGCACTGCGAATATGCGCATCTAACTTCCACTAAGCACAACATGATTTGTAACATGCTTCATAGGGCTCTAATCAACTCATCAAGTGGTGAAAAGGAAAGAAGGAGCATAAACAAAACATGGGTTTTGCTGTTGGGCAACAGACATTCTCCGCAACTTTTAGGTAGAATGTCGGAAGTAGTAAACAAGTCTAGGGCGCGCGGGGGGATGGATGGTAGGAGGCGGGATCACGTCCTATCGGAGGACGGATTCTCAACATAACCTTACGTAGATGAGCCTTTGCTTTGGAAAATCAAACACATTGTTAAAAAACCAAAACTGCGCGTAATCATAGTTTGGAAAAACGACAGTAAGCTTAAAAAGTCAGTGGTAAAATCTTCCATCTCGAAGCCTAAGTGCCCGGGTGGCAACAGATGCCATTTATGCGGTTCTGGGTTTCAAGGGGCTTACACGCAAGAAAGGTGGCTTACGAAATCAAGTGTAAAGTGTGTGAAAAACATGGGAGGGACATAGCCTATGTCAAGGAGCCCATGCGCCCTATTCGTTTGAGATAGAACACCTGCGGGACGCTAAAAACAAAACAGGGAATACCCCTTTCCGTGACTATTTCTGGGCAAAGTACGCCCTAGAATGTTCGCAGATTGTAAGTCTTAGATAGGCACTGTATCGTGGTACTGGCCGGGAAGCGCTCTTTGTTAAATCTCCTGAGTGTTGGTGTTCTGTAAAAACGGTGGCTTGCTTAAAAAACCTGAAAAGTCGGGTAGGATCATCGGCAGGCCATTGCTGTATTTTATGGCAATTATATTGCACTCTTTTTATAGGCCAAAGGCGGGAAAACTGACGGAATGTCGGCCCCTTCCTGATGATCAGTGACATGCAGTGGGGTAATAAGCTACTCACTGACGGGTCCATCCCCGGTGATCAGCGACATGGGATGAGGTGGTACGCTACTCACTGATGGGTCCCTCCTCGATGATCGGCGTGAGGAGGGTGGTGGTGAGTGAGAGCGAGCTGCCCGTCGGGAGGCCGTACAGCAGCCGCGAGTCGCCTCCCAGCGCGCGCGCCGTCTGCTGCAGCTGCTCCGCCGTCGCGTCTCCGGCGACCAGCAGCGGCGAGCAGAGCAGCAGCATCAGCAGGTACCACATGGTGTCGCCGGCTGTCGAGCAGGACGAGTGATGGACTGACAACAGCCCACCCAAACACGGGACGGCCGGGTGAAGGCGGCGGCGGCCATGCGTCGCCGCTGGCATATTCACATGCAGATTCCGCGCCGCCGCGCCACGCTCGCTTGTTTTCGGTCCGGCTCCATCTCCGGGTCCAGTGTTGCGATCCTGAGGAACCGGCGCTCCATGGATTGCATCAACGCCGGCAAAGTTTAGTTCCGGCTCGTCCATTTGAGAGAAAGGAGATGACTCAGCGGGTGGAGAAATTAGAGTGACAATTAGAGCTTTTGCCATTTGCTTGCTGTCGCCTGGCTTCTTTGTCGGCAGCCAGCGAGAATGGGGACGCGGATGCGAGGCTAAATTACACCGAGTGAGGCACTGCTGGAGCGCAGGGTGGGCCCCGAGACTCGCACCATTTTCAGCTACCACACATGGCTCATTCCTTTCGTGCGAACTGCCCTTCGGCTCTTCACTGTCTGGCACGCGACCCGCCACCTCCTGCGGCCGACACAGCGTGGGGCCAGAGTGCGGCCGACGGCCGGCCCAGCGGCGCACGCGATCTGCCGCCTGCCCCGTTCGATGCGGCGGTCGGCGCAGCAGGGGCCAGGGCCGACGAGCGGCGCTCGCCAGGGCGGCGCCGTCGGCCCGGCCCACTGCCGCGGCCGATGCGGCGGTCGGCGCAGCAGGGGCCAGGGCCGACGAGCGCCGCTCGCCAGGGCGGCGCTCGGCTCGTCGGCTCCGGCCCCTGCCGCGGGCCGGTGCGGCGGGTCGGCGCAGCAGGGGCCAGGGCCGACGAGCGCCGCTCGCCAGGGCGGCGCTCGTCGGCTCCGGCCCCTGCCGCGGCCGGTGCGGCGGTCGGCGCAGCAGGGGCCGGGGCCGACGAGCGCCGCTCGCCAGGGCGGCGCTCGTCGGCTCCGGCCCCTTGCCGCGGCCGGTGCGGCGGTCGGCGCAGCAGGGGCCAGGGCCGACGAGCGCCGCTCGCCAGGGCGGCGCCGTCGTGACGGACCGCCGTCGTCACGGCCGACGGCGCCGCCGGGCCGTAGCAGCCCAGTTTCTCCGGGCGCGACAATGGTCTGAATGCGGAGCGGAGGGCGCCCGGCCGCGACGCCGCCGCTGCCGATGCAAATGACGCCGAAAGCGGCCAGAGACGCGGGCAGGCGTGGCACAGCGTCCTGGCGTGGACCGAGGCCCGCGGACGTGGTCAGTTGGCGGCGAGCTAGGTCCGGCCGGGTCTCCGGCACACGTCAGTTGCAGGCGGCCCCTGGAAAGCGCAGGTCAGTCCCCGCAGATCCGCAGGTCAACTTTTGTCTATCCTTATACGTCGTTTGCTCGCTTCCTTGGTAGCTGATGCTGTGTTTCGGTTCTGTGGATTGGCTGCTCGGAAGGTTTAGCAGGTTACGTGAAATCAGACACGGACGCTCGCTTACGGCGCCCCCACTGCGGCCACATGTAGGCAAGGGCCGATCAACGTATTAGATAGGAGCTCACTGAAGTACGGTAAACTGTGCGGCCTGGCAACACATGCCTTTTGCCAAACTGCCGTGATTTATCAGTATCGACTAGTGCTGCTTTTAGCGATGCTCCGCACGTTTAATGGTTGTGAATGATTGCATGATTAAGAGCTTCGCAGGCCCCGAGACGTTTGGACATGCCACATATATAGCTTTTACGAATGGCGATGAACAACAGCTGTGACAATCGCCGTCACAATGCCACCGTATTTAAGCTTGGCCATGATCGTGTCTGTGTAAATCTTGACCTTCCTTGAGCGAGCGAGCGTCGGTGGTGCGCCGGCGGTGACCATGGGCGCGGCCGCCGCCCCGTGCCGCTAGAGCAGCATGTCCCTGCTCCGGCTGATGACGCTGCTGGCGGTGACGGTGGCGGCGCACGGCGCCGGCCCGCCGCTGGACCTGCGCGCGCTCGCCTCCCTGCTGGGCGCCCACTGGCAGGCCGGGCAGCGGGCTGGCCGCGCCGGCGACCTCGGCGGCCTGCTCTCCAGGTCACGGATCATCCTCACACCCAAACTAGAGATCACGTCACCGACTTTCCCACCGGACGGTACGTGCAGCTGGAGAGGCGGACGCGTCACGCACGGGTGTACAGAGGAGCTCACGCCTCCTGCGTGCTGCTACTGTCAACGTGAAAAGTTCTGCTAAAACTCACCGAAGTGACGCGGTAATGAAAGCGGGACATGCTCAGTGGGCATGCTATTTGAGGGTGGTATTAGTGGTAACATTGCAATTACATCATGAATATACACGCTCCGGTATCTTCCTTTTTTGAGGATCACTGGAGCAGCTCCTCACCCCAGCTTTTTCAGAAGCCTTGCAGCATTTTAAAATAAGCAAAAATGCTCTAGAAAATCATACCTGAATTTTTGAAATTCCGTTTGTTCATGAACAATTGTTCTAGCAGGAAACAGCTGAAGTGTTAGCTAAACATTGATTGCTACGCTCACTAGCTGAAACTTCAGAGAATCCCATACATGTCTTAACCAATCGTTAGAACATCACAACGTGTAAAAAAGCATCACGCGGTAGACCTTTCTGATAGCAGCTATTAAATAGTAGCTCAGACGTATATGTGCTAGGGGCTAGACGGCTCGCGAGACGTGGGTACCGCCACCACAGCCGGCCTCCTTCGGCAGGTGGCTCGTTCTTCCTCTACGCCGATATCCCGATCGCGCTGGGCGGCGGCGGCGGCGGTGCGTCCAACCGCAACTCAAGCGCGGCCGCCGACGCGCCGGCGCCGCCGCCGCCGCCGGCCGACGGCGAGACGCTGCGCAACCCCAGCGTCATCGCGTCGTACGGCCGCGCTGGCCGGGCCGACGGCGCGCTGGCGGCCAGCTCGGCCGGCTTCCACGACGCGGCGGCGCTGCTGCTGGCGCGGACAGGCATGGACGGGCGCGGCTGCCTGCTGCGGGCCGTCTGCGAGCTGGCTGCCCGCCCACTACGCTCCAACGGCCTACTCGGCGACCTCATCAACGCCGTCGTTGAGTGAGTGGTGCGCGGGCACGGTGACGGAGCGCTGGCGCGAGGGGCTCGATCGGGGGTTAGGAGCGGAGACTGGCGAGAGCACAGATGCAGGGGTTTCGGAGAGGCTGCGCCGCGGGCCGTGGCGACGGTGGGCTTGAAGTTTGCGTTTAATGAACGGTATCCGCAGGGAATGCTGATGCAGAGAAGCCGACATTTCACCAATCATCAGTTATGGTTACAAGATCCAGGCTGTAGTTTCCAGGCTGTAGCCTGCCAGGCTGTAGTGTAGTTGAGTGCACGGAGTCGGATATTGCCAATCGACGATTCATGCGCAGTGACATGTTCCGGCTAATCTTAAATAACTTGCGTATGGAGTGCATTTTACTTGCAGTTCTATGGCTCTTCCTTAGGCAGAATTCAAAATGTCACTGCAGGAAATCCGCTGTAACAGTTTTGGCACGCGACTTCAGTTGTGTCTATGCCAGAGATCGATCCTGAATACTGCTGGGAGTGGAAAGCACTCTGACTTGTCTGAGGATGGCCAATGTATGTAAAACAGTCCTATTTTACCGCGCACAAAGTGTGGGCGATCGGGTAAGGTTTTGGCCTCAATGTGGCCTCTTTATATGCGTCCCTGGTCTTAACGTCCATGATCCACGGCGCTCAGAAAAATACGTCCGTCATCAATCACGAAATATAACATATACTCTTTTTCATAATTACAAGCGTGCAGCCTGGCTCAGATTCAGTGTTTTGTTCACAGAATTCCGTCCACTAACGACCGTACGATGGAGGAGGAGCTGAAGGTCTCCCGGCAGCTGGGCCTTAGCGGCGCACCCTGCACTGAAGTGTTCGACAACTGCAACAACATGATCATGGATCAGCTGGCCAAATGATGGAAGTGGCCTCGCAACATGCGTGCTTCCATGGCCACTATGACCTGGAGGCGTTCATTACGGTTGTTGCTAGATCCCTCGCACTTCGGTTGCGTATTGTATACCGCGAGCACGTGTAACTTGTTTATTGATTTTGGTAAGGTTTTTTCGTTATCGTTTTTATACATCCACATGCTGATCAGTTTTCTGAGTGACAGACGTCAATGATCCACGGAGATAACTTGTATTCAACAAAAACGGCCTACAACTGGAGCGCGCTTCTCTCAGCGTTCGGACTCCGACAAAGAGGACGCCGTCTGACTGGGGGCGGGAGGCGCGATCGGTGTTGAATGCTCACGACGGCAGACAGACGATCAGAGCTTTAGAGCACTCCATCGGTAGTCATGCTGCGGGCAGGACTGGCGCTGAGAATGCACTCAGTTCCGCTGTGGTCACGACACTTGTTTGAAACGGACCCGTCCCTGTCATAACCGAGAACACGTCACAACGTTTCGTGGATCGAGCGTGGTCGATTGCCCTGGTGCTGCAGCAGGTTCCTGCCAGCACGTAACACAGACCCTGTTCTGAAGGAATATGGATCGTGAGTCATTAAAGGCTGGCTTTTGAAATGATGCCGGGTGCCGTGTCATCGCTGAAACTCTCAAGAGAGCTGTTCCAGTGTATGCAACGATGGACGGGTGACGTGGTAATGCGGAAGGCCCTTCTACAAAGACAGATAGCGGATCAGAAATAGAGTATCAGCTGGGTCGTGGGGGCTGCGAACTCTTTTTGGAAACCGAGAGGGCACCCCTGTTGCGTGTGAAATGCGCATCATAACTGACTGAGAGTTTTGACACATCAGGCCCCGGTCACGACTAAGAAGAGGTCCCCTTCATGAACAAGAGAAGGCCTCTGCCATAAACGAGAACCGGTTGCAATGATCGCAGGACCTCAAGTGATGGAGAGCCAAGGTGCGGCAAGATCTCTTGTCGTGACCGGAAGCAGGCCCGGTGGTATAGCCATATGGGGTGTGGATAGCCTTGGCATGGCACGTGCCTTCGATCACGATGTGCGTGATCGCGATGTAGAGAGGCAGGATTTCCCTTTTCAATTCAGGAGGAGATTCCCTTCATGGCCTTGCCCTTCCTGCCAGGGCGAGAGGCAGGGGACGCCATGTGTTCTTAGCAACTGAGAACATTTTAAAGCCCCAATGACGACGACAACCAATTCATAGCAACGGGCAGGCCCCTGCCTCGCTCGAAATAGCGACGGACAGGCCCCTGCCTCGCTCGCGAGAGCGACGGGCAGGCCACTACCTCGCCCGAGATAGCGACGGGCAGGCCACTACCTCGCCCGAGATAGCGACGGGCAGGCCACTACCTCGCCCGAGATAGCGACGGGCAGGCCACTACCTCGCCCGAGATAGCGACGGGCAGGCCACTACCTCGCCCGAGATAGCGACGGGCAGGCCACTACCTCGCTCGAGATAGCGACGGACAGGCGCCTGCCTTGCTCAAGATAGCGACGGGAAGGCTCCTGCTTCGCTCACGAGGAGACCCCAGTTGGAGAGGAGCGTGTAAATTAGGCTGGCTGTTGGAATGGAACTTCATACCCTGACCGGGAGAGATAATGTGCCCCTTATGTTCTACCCCAGAGACCCTTCCCCGGATGAGGCAAGTGGTCTGCTCAGCAGCCACTAGAATGGGTAGAAATAAGGTCAAAAATTAAAAACTGACCCCTGTGTCCGTGAGTATGTCCGACGGTTGAGGTCACTGTTTCTGGAAAACCGAGCAGAGTTCGCGGATGCAGCTGCCACCAGGCGGCCGACGCCGGGCGCGCGAGACCACCGTCGTAAAATGATATTCTCACCAGTCTTTAGAAATCGATTTGTACCATACAAAGAAAAGACTGCGTCGATTAGTTAAACTCCATAATTTCTAAGATGTTCTCTGAGCAGAATGACGGTTACAACAACACAAAAAATCACGATGTTAGCTTTACTTTTCCAGTTCCCACACCATATTCCAGCACCAGTTTGGGGTGCTGTACACGTTTATCCGTCCCTGTAGTCAACCTACAGACCTCGCACTACCTTTTCAGCGCACGAAGTGACGTCCTAAAACGTTCAAAGATACTTTTTTGAGAGATGACATAGCTCTCGTCCGCCCCGTGACTGCCGCCTAAGATCAGCCAGCCCCAAGATCTAAATCACGCAGCCTATGGAGACTGCAACGCCGGCAGATCTTTTAATTCAGCGGATCAAAAGATCTGACGACGCAGAACACGCTGCCGATGGTTACAATTTGTTTTCTTTCTCCAGATAATGCGGGAGAAAGATAAAGATCCAAACATCCCCGATGCCTGTAAGTTAGAACAAGTCCAGTGTGACATGTGTGCAGAGCGTACGACGCGTCATTATGTACCGATCAGTACGATTGCGGCGTGGATGGCGCGTAGCAAACGCATTGGTTTTGTCAAGAAAACGCATCATGTGCATGACATAGGCATGTTGATATCTGTTTTCAATCACTAGGCAATGTGTGAGAAGTAACACACTGGTTTGAAATATAATCATCGAGTTTGATGTCGGTGATGGCGTTGTCTGTCATTGGCGCGGGATAATTACTTGGTTTATTATAACGTGGGATATATAACATTTAACGTGGGTTATATAATACGTGGATTAGGTTTATTTAACATCAACATAGGATTTTGCTGGCCAATCTTTCTGTGAAATAGACATAACATTTCAGTAACCTGTATTGTGAAGATAACATTCAACCACATGGCCCAGATACCCGATTACAACACTATGGACATCACAACACTAACGCACTGCATCTTCTCAGATAAGGACTTCAATAACGATTATCGAGGAACGTATTGATAGTTGCACATACACAGAGAAAACATGATGTACCATACGCTAGAGCTCTTTATTATTTTCTACCTTCAGCAACCATGTGTCTGTGCAGTACGCTACTTCAATATCCGTTCAACCAGGAAATACGCTTTTTGGTATATGTCTAAGGACATCAGCCCACTTTACCACCGACTGCATTTGTAGAATGCATGCAAAGTCTCACGTCCGCTGCAGCTGAGGCCTTTATTGCAATAAAATAGAAACCAGGTGAACATAACAATGTTGATAAACCAATGTTATTTAATGTCATCGAAAAACCGATGTAATTCTAACTGTGGTCGTCAAGGAGGTTTCCAATTTCGATCAGTCCAGTCCACGGATCAATTTTCAGCCAACATATTGGTAAATACGCGAAGAGCTCAACCACGCACAATGCTGAAACTTTGTTCAAATGGTTTTGCATTTCAGCAAGCATTGAATTAGTGGAGAAAAAGAAGCTGTCTTTAATGAAATGACCCAAAACTGACCCAAAACTAATTCTTGTTCTGCTTCGCTAATATCTAAAGCAATCGCACTCAACCCCCAAACACCATGCCCCTTTGAAATCCAGAACTCCTTCAACAATGAACACGACGGGATAAAAATAACATTCCGCCTCGTAACGACAGCCTTACGACATGAGAACGTGCTGGCAATGAACACACTGGCAGTAAACATACCGGTCATCGGTCGGCTGTTCAAAGCGCCAGCTGAGAACCTTTGCTCCACCGCTTTAGCTGGGAGAATACCTCAGCTTACACATGCCGAGCATTGTCCTCATAATTCCACCACGCTCGCGCCCCATTCAAGCGGGGGCCTCTCGTAGGGCGGATATGGTTGCGGGAGTGCACATTACACTAGCAGGAGCATTGTGACGTTCTTGCCGGCTCACATCAGCTTAAACACGCTGACCGGGCAGGTAGCGTAGTACTCGTCACAGCGCCCCACCGCCTTGCCCCTCTCCTCAGCCTTCCGGTACTCCTGCATCCGCTCTCCCTCCGTCGGCTCCACCGTCGTCCTGCCAGGCAAGGTCGGCACTGGTCAGGATCCCGGCCAGCGGCGCCGAAATCCCCACGGGAAGGGCAGCTGATCGAACAACCTTAGATATTTCACTATTTTCAGTGCTGCTTGGCAAATTTTGTTGCGTTGTGGAGCGAATTTTGGCTCAAACCTCACGCCAGGGGATGGGGAAGCGAAGCGGCAGAGACAGACAGACGTTGGGAGCCAACGACTCCCGCCGAACAGACACAAAACACTAGGTAGGGCGTAGTCTAACTACAGGTCAACACTAGTCAAAGATCGGCATACCCAGACCTCTTTCAGGGCACCACATATCCCCCAAGATCAGGACAGAACGACGCAGATTCACAGATCAGGAAGCCATATCAGCATGAGGCCTACCGACACCCACGTGTCAGGTCAAAAAGGACGGCAGGGCACATCTCAGACCCATGCGCAACATCCTGCGTTTCACAAGTCTCATAAAGACAGCACCGCACGTCTGCCAGTCACAAGCAGGCGGTAGGCGGGCAAACAGTACGGACCCGCCTGGGGACGAGCGCGTCCGCTGGCCGCACCGCCCGCCAGGGTGAGACTACTGACGCCAGCGGCGCTCGCGCAGCGCGGCCCGACCGCAGCAAAAACGGCAGCAGCTGTCAAGTGCACAGCAAATATTCGGCCATTAGAAAGTATTTTACTCGGCTTGATCCACTGGGGCTGCGGACGGAGCCAGTGAAAGTGATCTGGTTCTCTCGGGGCCGGTGCGTCCAGATTTCGACCGGGCGCCGTCCCGGAGAAAGAGCTTCTTTTTACCCACGATTATCGGCCCATCGCTCCCCGTCTGTCCTGAGCCACGTGTCTCAACTGCTGCCGATTTGGCGCTTTAATCGCGCCGTACGCCGCGGTCTGCACAGCCTGCCACCGGTGCCGCCGGCGGCGGCGGCGGCGGCGAGGCGCTGCACGCCGCCGGCGGCTCCCCTCGCGAGGCCCAGCGCTCCCACCTGAGCACGGTGTTGATGATCTCTCCCATCACGCCGGCGTCCTGCACGGGCGCCTCAGCCACCTCGCAGATGGTGCGCAGCACGCAGCTCTTGCCGTCCAGTCCGAACCTGCCACAGGAACGAGCGCGTTACGCGACCGCGGCCAGGCGCCACCGGCGCTGAGTGCAGCCGGCGCCGGTATAGGCGCACTCCGCCACTCGGCCGTTGCCCGGGTGCGGTCCCATGCCGCAGACAATGTCGGGCTTCCATGATTACGTCACAGGTAGAAAACACGTAAAACGTGCGATAAGCGATGAATCACTTCTTTCGGTACCAAGGATTTGCATTGTCACCGCGACGTTAGTTGCTTGGATTTGCTGTTGCTTGTAACGGCAGACGTTTCTCAAGTCCAAAGAGTGTATGCTTCATATTTGTATGTGCTTGGTAACGGCAGCATCCGGGAATGCGCAATATTTTTTTTTGTAGCGTTGCCGGGCACCAGGAGGACTACCCAGCGGCACAGTGGCACCGGCACGTGGCACAGCTGGTCACGCATGTCTCGGGTTCTGCGGCATGAAATATGACCTCTTTGTTCAGCGCTGACGTGACCCGCTGCGTCAACTCTCCACGCGTTTGAGACAAGCCATGACTGCGAGGCGCCGACGAACTCCTTCCACGCGTTTCTCGTGCGACCAGCCGTCGGTAAGACGCTGGAGAGTATCAAGCCCACTTTCAGCGCGGTTTCCTTCTGAATCTATCATCAGAGGCTCGTCATGGTAGCCAGAGGCCAGCGTTTTTATAACTGCAATGGGCCGGCAGGTTCACTTCCGCTGTGCACAGCCTGATTTTGATCTGACGGTGAAACCAGGCGCCACCGGCAGCGGTCCAGCCTTCATGCCTCCACGGGCAGCCACGCACGCCCAACAGCGAGATGAGACGAGCAGAACGAGGCGACACTGGCAATCCAACCCGAGGAGCACGGACGCGACCCACAGCCCTAATTGAGCGCCTCCACTGTCCACAGCAAGCCATTAGCTGCGCTCTTACCAAAGATGTCCGAAGCACTGTCAGACTGCTAGATAGCGTCAGAAATTTCCTTAAATATCGTCATAATAATTTGGACCGCGCAGCACCCAGACCTTCTGATTGCGTAGCGGCACTCTGTGCGGCGAGACGCCGCCCCCACGTCCCCGACAGGCGTCCCGCTACACTCACTGTGAAATGAAGTTCTCGGCGTACGAGTACATGTCGGCCTTCTCTTCGTCCAGGCTGCGGTAGTAGGTGTACGAGTCGGTCGCGTCGTCAGTCGTCTTGTACCTGGCCGCCGAGTCGGCCTCGGCCGTCGGCAGGGCGAAGCTCAGCGGCACCTCCACGTTGAGGAGGGAGCCTGCGGCGACACCGCGAGACGGGTGACGACCTGGGTCGGGGCACCCACCGATATCGAACGCACACAGGGAAACTGAAAACACACACTGAAGTGATTGGACAGACCGGTCCAGTCCACATCTGCATACTTGTGGTGCGGCATGTTCAATATTTTATGCGTGGGGTTCTCTTAAGAAATACATAAATTCAGGCAGTCTTGACCATGTACACTGATAATAACAATGCATCAGTAGCCTGATTTGTGGCCTTCTGTTGTTTTTAAAAAGCGTCACATCTTTCTACGTTCTTTACCTCCGGGAGCCAGACCGGGCAGCGGCATAGTAAACTTGGGCGTGAGGATGAAAGCAGCGCCAGCTGGGAGCGGGGCGAAGAAGCGCCGCTTGCGAGAGAGCGCCCGAGATGCCGCTACCTGCGACCCGTTGGTGCCACCGATCTGGCTGAAGAGTTCTGCGTCTGCAGGAATCCCTGTAACAGAAGATTGTCAGGCGACCATGCGCATTTTAAGCACAGGCGGATCCTGGGGGGGGGGGGGGGCACGGGGCTATGGCCCTTCAAAAAACTCTGAGAGTATGTTTTGCCCCCCCCCCAAAAAACATTCCCAGAACTTCATAAAAGTTTCGTCTACTTACCTCAAAAGATGTACCTCAAAATAATAGCCTACATAATAGCAAATACATAACAGCAAAATAATACCTCGAAATGAGGTTACGAGCTTTGTAAGCATGCATACTGTATATAGAATATTCAAAAGTATTTCGGTGCTTGAATGATGTCCCTACTAGGTACTCGCGAGAGGCACCATGCACTGGACCTCGGATCCCACACCAGCCAGCTGGCGACGAACGGTTGCCCCCCCCCCCCAAAAAAAAAACACTAGGGTAGATCCGCCCTGATTTTTAGCCTCGTGAAATGAAGCTGCTGTAGCCATGCTATGGACTCCATTTTGTATGGCCCTTTACGAATCCACCGTGTGAAAATGTATCCAAACTTGTAGCAGGATGGACTGGGCAGGTTAAATCTACTTAGCGCACAAAACTTGTCATGCGCGATGTTTTAGAACATGCGGAGATCATACAAGGCAACGTTTAATCAAAACCCAGTTCGCTGTACGCGAGCATTTCGCTGCGTCCCATGAGGCTCTTGGTAGTGTCTGTGTCGTGTCTGTGTGAAGCCGTGTCGGCAGTGGCTAGCCATGTGTACAGATGTCGCGTCAGTGGTCCGTGGTCCTCGGTACGGAGTCCAGGCTGGCGGGTCATGTCCTGGAGGGCCGATCCGGAGGTCTGCGGTCCTCAATACTGGGGTTGCGTCTATGATTCCTCGTTCTCAGTACGTCCCCGGCCTGTCCCGTCCTGCTCCGTCGTCACTCGGCCGGCCATCTCCATCCGTCTGGTCGCCGCCTGCCGTCCCGGGCCTGTCCCGTCCTGCTCCGTCATCGCACGGCCGGCCATCTCCATCCGTCTGGCCGCCGCCTGCCGTCCCGGGCCTGTCCCGTCCTGCTCCGTCATCGCACGGCCGGCCAGCTCCATCCGTCTCGTCGCCGTCTGCCGTCCCGGGCCTGTCCCGTCCTGCTCCGTCATCGCACGGCCGGCCAGCTCCATCCGTCTCGTCGCCGTCTGCCGTCCCGGGCCTGTCCCGTCCTGTTCCGTCGTCGCTCGGCCGGTCAGCTCCATCCGTCGGCCTGCCTGCCGGAGGCCGGCGTCGGCAGAAGGCAGGTCACCTGAGTCTGTGTAGAGGGAGCTCACGCAGAGGGCGGCGCTCAGCGCGACGACGACGAGCAGCAGGCGACCAGCCATCTGAGGGGAGGGGGTGGGACGTCAGATGCGGCGCACGGACCAGCTCCGCGCATGCACCTTACCGTACGTTAGGCATATTGAAGTGTGATGACGCTTGGCATGCAAGGCTGGACACGTGCGCAATTTAGTAGGGCATAATTCGGAACAGCCATATTTTATCTGAGTGCAGACACACACCACACCACTGTGCGTTAGCAAAACATAGCAATTGCATGACAATGCTCTCCGAAAGAACGTCATTGCGAACACATTGTCGGCCTACGATGCAACGCACGAATACGGGTATACAAGGAATAACGCGACCATAGATGCTTGTTCATGTCTTGGTCTCGAGTTGCATCGGACAAGTATTATAATCTCTCCCTGTTGATAATTATACGAACACATGCCAGCCTTTCCATGTCGCGGCTTGATGTTGAAGAAAAACACTTATTTTCCCTTCCTTCTGCCTGAGAGATCAATAAGTTGTCTTTTTCCTTGTATGTGATGTTGTTAGCAGCGGTCTTTCGAAGGCTTTTTACGTAAGGTTAAAAACATCACAAAAGTTCAGGAAAATTGTTTTTGATACTCAGCAGCAAAACATTTGACAAAGCATGCTCCGTTGAAAACGATTGCTTCCATATGTATAACTACCGTGTACAATAGCATGCGAACTGTTATGGTATGCATTGCTATCAATATCAATGTATACACTTGGGTAAAAGTATATTGTGGTCATAGTGCTCGTCTCCTACCCGAAGGATGACACATGTCAAACAGCTGAACAGACATGTGCACGAAGCACCCAAAATGTCCAGGATCCGATCCCAGGATCCCATAAGCATGGAACCACATAGGATCCCGGGTCTACCCTTGAGATCCAAGCTGAACTGAGCATTGAACATGACAGCAGACAGATTAATAGAACCAGCCATGTACCTATCTACAGATGATGCTTAACACGCGCCCGGGTGGCCGGCTAGATCTCTTCGCTCGAATGGAGGGGTCAATTTGACCCCCCTGAGATCGCGGGAACTAAAAAAAGCAAGAGACACCAAATTTACATAGTGTCTTGACCTGTACGTGCACTCACTTAGGTTAAAGTTTGAGCTTCCTAGGTCATGACCTTCAGGTCAAATAATGTCAAACAAGTTCAAATTCAATGCTGGTCTCTAGAGTGCCCCCAGAACCTAAGAAACCGTTTCTAAGCAAAAGGTCACAGGCCCCTGGGAGGTCAGTGACCTTGTTTGACCTTTTGAAAGTCATGGTGACCAAAATCATACAAGACTGCTCTGAGTTTTGCATTTGAATAAGCGACAAAGATTACGCCAGACAGTATGTTCCTAAAACAAAATGTCGACCCGGGTCATATTAGGTCAATGACCTGTCCTGACCTCTAAAAAGCCAATGGAAGACCTGTGATGCGGTTCCTGCTGTCAACAAATTTGAAATGAACACCACAAACTATCCCACACAGCAAGCCCTAGAGTAATAAGTCAGGTTGGTTTTGACCTTGGTCTGACCTTTATACCTGACCTTACGTCAACGCAGTTTGCTCGCTCAATATTTATGGTGCCTAAGAAAGCATCTCGGAGATCTCTGGCTTCGTCAAACTCCCCGTTATTGTATCAGATTAAACGATTCCCTAGAAATTGCCTTCGCTGAAGCCATGGTCTGACTTTGGCCTGCCACAAGTCAGCGACCTTACAAGGTACATCTAAATTTGTTATGTCAAACCATCTGCCATTCAATTGTCTATAGCTACGCAAAATTTAGCGCGGCTACGCCGCGCCGTTAGAAACCATTCTGGAAAAACCTTCGGGGGGGGGGGGCACTTTGACCCCTATCTTAGCGCGTGTTAACGACAAACTGCGAGACCTCACACACATGGCACGAGATGTACTGTTACTTGACTCACCTGTTCAGGAGAGGAGTAAGGGATATCACAAGCGTACTGGCACAAGAACTGCAGCACAGGCGAGCAGGTTTGCAGAGCCGGAGATGTGGACCCGGTCTGGGAGCAAACGATTTGCGACTGACTCCATCCAGTCGGGTACACTATTTATGGCTGTGCGATTGCCAAACGGCTTCGACGCCTCCCCTTTCTCAAACAACCGGCACTGGCGTGCCGCGCCGACCCCTTGCGCAAGGCAGCAACTTGCGAAGCTCCTTTGTCAGCTGTCCGTTTGACGCCGCAGAACGTTGCGCCAGACATCGCCCGAGTTTGGCGCGCCACTTTCCGGATCATCTCCCCTGAAAGCCGGGGCGGGACGGCGCGGCGGACCATCCGGACCTCGTTGTTGACCCTGGGCCCGTTTCGGGGCGGTGTCGTGCCGCCCGGGGCTCGTCACAGGTCGTGGCAGACGGCAGCCGTGCTGACTCGCCAGCTGAGACCCAGCGCGGTCGTTTGGCCAGCCTCTTAGTGATAGAGCCAGGCTGTCTACCTCAGAGGTAGTGCGGTGCCTGTAAGCCTTTGGCATCTTCATCATGGACTGATTCGACGGGCCATGACTAGTCATTGCCTCTACCACCTCTGTTGAAAGCTCAGGTCAAAGGCTGTTGATGGCGGCGTCGGGAGCTCAGCCCATGTATAGATCTAGGTTGTAAGCTCAGCGTCACCACATCAGGAACGGGAGCGAAAGCTCCACATGTGCTGCTGGAGAATCTTCAGAGCTGGGAACGCTACGGCTCTTCGGAACCCCGTCTCAGTTGACCGCTGCATTCACGAAAGTCTCGCTGCCGACGTGGAAGGGGGATAGACGACTGAGAAACGCAGGATGTTGGTGCAGCACTGTGCTGCTACCGTCCGTTCTTTTAGACGTCTGCTTGGCATACATTGCGTCCATAGCTCTGAGCCGACATGTCAGCTGAGTGAGCTTCAGTTCATGGGGTAATATTTTCAGCAGTGTCCTAGAACTGTCGACTTTGGGTTAAAGCCATACGCTATGAGGAGGAAATTTTCACTCTTTTCCCCAATATTTCATGTTAATATTTCACTCCTGCCTGATATTGTCTGATTGCAAATACCAAACCCATATTTCCTTTTCTGAGGCTTTCAGATGCCATCCAAATTCGAGCTCACTTGATACCACCAAGCATAAACAAGGCTCCACAGAACCTGAACACCCGTGGCTATGTCCCACCTCACCTACATCTGGACCATGTATATGTATGCATGGAACAAGGGTTCCAGGTACCTTCAAGCCCAAGAGCCCCAGCGACCCCATCCGCTTGCATGCGTCAAGTTTGGATTGTTTACAAAACGCATGACAGCCGGCAGCTATGTGCCAAATGCAAGATTTTCACGCACCCCCAAATTTTGGTCTCCCCACCGCACCACGAAAGCAGAGCCTGGTGGAGACACCAGCAAGGCCTGGCAGATAATTTTACTCAGCGTATTTTTTTACCCGAAGAAATTTGATCACTACATTCCATCACGCTCGAAATGCAGGAGTGAAATATTCAAGACATGTCTTCTAAATGAAATTTACAAGATGCATATCACCGTTTGAGCAATTATGTTATGAGGTTGTAAGTTAAGTCATCTGATTACAAAATTTTGCCAACAGAGTATCAGTCCTTATATTTATTTATTTACCTTTGTCTTTCTTGGTATCACACGACTGTAATGCAACTTTAGTCTTCCTTCTTTTCCGATTGCTTTTAAAGGTAATATCTGTTGCTTAAAATGTTG